CCAGTTAGTTTATTATTTTCAATCTATTGTAGCCTTGGCCTTTTGTTTCTTTTTAAATATTTATTTAACCTCCAATTAACGTTGAAATATCTTTATGATATTTTTCTTTTACTAGCTCCAACCTCCTTGTACTGTTTAATGAGACAAATGTGTCCTTTTTGACCAATTCTCTAGTTTATATTTTTACTTAATTTAGGCTGCATATCTTCATTCTTTGTAAAAGTAACTTAAATCAGCTCATGAGATGTTTTCTTTTTAATCATTAATATTTTTAATAGTTATTTTCCTCCTTCCTTCCTTCCTCTTTCTTTTTCTCCTTTCTCTTTTTTCAAGTTGCTCATTTTAGTTTTAAGTGTTGGTTCATGGTTTTATAAAATATATACTTTACCTTTATTGACTCCCTTGCTAATTTCAGGAAAGGACCAAAATTAACTTGTCTTAAAGAATCTTAGTGTTTGCTCATGCTGCATCTCATGACTTCTCTCTACTCAATACCATAAATGGGTGGCCACAATCAATCATTTTAAAAAAAATATCTACCTTATTCATTGCCTTCCCAGGATTTAGCAGAAGTATTTCAATAATTTAGTAATGACTTCCCCTTTGGGTCATTAGAAGAAAAATGGTTTCTGTAGAAATAATCTTCTAAATAAATGTTAATGTAGAGACATTTTTCTGGAGGCTACAAAGTGACCTACTGAAATACAGTAAATTGGTTCTTGTCGGGACATTCAGATCTTTCCTTTTTTTCAATTTGGAATGGAAGAATAAATGGGGGAAAATGTGTTCTGAAATCCTCTGTCCTGCTTTAGAGCATGTAAATAGCATCACGCACAAAAAATTTCAAGCTGTCAGGAATAAAGAAAGTATGATAATTTAGTATAATTAAATGCTTAAGATAATCAAAATAGAACTGATCCTAGTAATCTTTCTCACTTGGAGGGAACTTCTTTAAAATAAACTAGTTACTGATCTAAATGTCTTCCAATCTTGTTAAAAATTATAGCATGATAATAACACACAATATCGAATATTTTACAATCTAAAGACGAAAGCATATCTGTATTATTGGACATAGAAATATATGTTTTTTAAAAAGAAAGACTGTGAATAATACATACATTCCAATCCCATTCATATATAAAATAGCAAAATACATGCAAAGAGAGATGGGACTGGGAAGATACCCACACCAAACTGCTCTCAGTACTGCACTGGGAAATTATATTTCTGTGTTTGTTTCTGTTACCAGATTATAAGCTACGTTGTTGCCAGGTCAAACACAAAATGTCCAATACACAATATTTTTAGTGTAAGTGTATCCCAAAACATTACATGGAACATAATTATAGCCAAAAATTTGTTAGCATGAAATTCAGATTTAACTGGGTACCCTGTATTTTTATTAGCTAAATCTGCAACTTTACTTGAAGTAGACCTTAAAGTATTCATCCTTGTACTTCTATCACTAATATAGCTACAGAGATAAAACAGGTCATGATAAATGGCAGAAAGGAGTGTAATTAATGAAAGAACAGTAATAACAGGTGGGTTTGTAAAGTATATTGCATATACTATCTCCAATCTCATGAACAAGCCTTAAAGTTTTATTAGTTGTCTTTTTTTTTTTATGGTACTGAAGTTTGAACTCAGGGTCTCACACTTGCTAGGCAGGCACTGTACCACTTGAGCTCTAGCAATCCTATTTTAAAGATTAAGAAGCGTTAAGTATAGGAAAGATAGAACAAGTAAGTGATGGAGCAAGAGATCACCCTGAGTTTCTGGATCTTTATTCAGCAGCCATAACTGGTTGGCAGCTGCAGGAAGATGGAGGGGAATAAGAGGAAACAGAACCAGGCTTGACACTTCTGTTTTACCTATGAAACTGAGTAGGACTTTGTATGAGTACCTTAATCTTGCCTAGAGGTACAATGTGGAATATGAGAGGCAGGCAGATCCGGGCCTGGTTCCCACCTTCTTTTCTTGTTTGAGCAAGTTATATAATTTATTTTCTCATCTGTAAAATGAGAATCTACCTGAGTACTGATATGAAGAGTGATGAAGATAATTTTTTCAAAGTGACCCAAACTGGACTTTGCAAGTAGAAGACACTCAATGCTCATTATTATTAACTCAAAGCCCTAGTTTTTTCATTTGTAAAACAGAATAACAACAACTACAAGACAACAGAATATCTCTATCTTGCCTGAGTTGTTCTGAGGATCAGATGAGAATATGTATTAATTTTTATAGTCTAAAGTGCAGTTTACTTTCCTATCAGAGAATTTGCTCTTTTGATAGATTCGGATTTAAGAACATGCAAGAGCATTACTGCAATTTTTCCATGTAATTAATTTCACTTTAAAAATTATACAGTAAAACTCTTTTGGTGTACAAAGTCCTATGAGTTTTACCATGTATAGATTTATATAACTATCTCCATGACTGGGATCCAGAACACGACTACAGCTTCTGAGAGTCTTTTTTCAAAGTGTTTCACATTCATGTTGCAAAACACTTTTAAAAATAAGAGAAAAGGATCTAGATAAATGTGCTGAAGATGCAAATTAATGAAACTGGGTTTTTGCACAAATCTCTGCAGTTTCCAATCCCTGCAGCTTTTGTCTGGGCCATTTTTCCTGTTGTTTCTGCAGACTACCTCTTTCTACAAAAGTAATCAGCCATAGTTTCAGAATTGGGGCCTTCACACTATAGATAGAAGACACAAAAACAATCTTCAGCATATCTTATTTGAGCCTTTTTATTATACCATATCTTAATTTTTCCAACCGCATTTCTGCTAACTGCCGTTTTCTTTCTAAAATAAAGAAGCCTGAAATATCCCTACCTTCTTACACTTGGGGGGAAATTATTTGATGGGGGGAAGGATATAATGTTTTTGAGAGAGCAATGACAGGGCATTCAGGACCCCAAGTCTTTCCGGTATAACAGATGCTTCTTGTAACCAATCATACTCTTTCGCTTTCCCCAGCCCCATCATCCTGCCACCTTCCTGGGACCCAATAACCTACTTGGGGACAAACTTCTGCTCAGCTTCCCTTACCCTTCATCCCACGCTATGAGCTCTCCAGGCCTAAGTGACTTGCACTGACACACCGCCCCACATCTGGGGGTGCGGGAGATGGGTTGGTCCGCTTTTGGGTGACTCATGTCGTTGCTATTTGCCTTTTGTTTGTAGGGTGCTTTGGCTGCCTCTTTCTTCCCTCTGCTTTTAATTTGGGGAGGAGAAAACCTAATGGATAAAGAATGAGTCTCCTCTCCACTAATCTCCCTCCGTCCCCCAAAGTTAACCCTCTTCACAAAGTTCTGTGACTACCGAAGACGCGCGGGGGCGGCACATGTGGAAATGTATTAACAACGTCTAAATCTGAAGTTGACAGCCCAAGGTAACCACTTGGTGGGGAGACTTTCTGAAGCTCCCTTACAACCGGCTTGGGCTGCGGCTGTACATTTTCAGCACATTTCTGTCTGCTGCTGCCTGTCACGCCTCAATCTACTTCGTCCCTGATAAAGGTGCTCGAAGCGCCAATTCCATGAGATTCGCCAGCGGTTTTGCTCCTGCCCAAGGTAAATACAGTATGCAAAATGTGGAACCACCAATGGATGTCAGGGAGGGGGAAGAGAAAGGGATTCCCTCACCTTTTCCGGCCTGTGGCTCGTTCATTTCTGCCAGGAGGAGGCGCGCAGCCCAGATTCCCTTGCTGTCTTCCTAAATCCCCTCACCTAAGGTTGCCGAGGTTGGCTGCGCAGCCGAAACCTCTCCGGCAGGCCTGACCCTCCCCCGCCCCCCGGCTTGGTTTTTCCCAGCGGTGGAGGTTGGGCCAGGGGCTGGGGTGCGCGGAGAGTCGGCGCCCGCAGCGCGGAGCGGTGAAGTCGCCGACTCTGGTGGAACTCGGTCTGAGTTGGCACTGCAGGCGGCGGGCGCAGAGGTGAGCGGCGGGGAGCCTGCGGCCAGGGCAAGAACTCGGGGCCGGGGCCGCGGCCCCTCCCCATCCTCGGGAGGAAGAGGAAGGTCGGTCGCGACTGCTATCCGGTCTGGCGTCCCACCACTGCTTCCTTGGCAGGCTCCCTACTTCCTTTTGGAGATGACTTGAACCCCCTCTGGGATCCGAGGCTGGGGGCGGGAGGCGGGGGGCGATAGTTGTACGGTCCTCCATTTCCCACTAAACCAAGGAGATACAAAAAGACATCAAAAGACTCCTGTAATCTGAAACTTTCCTCTCATTTTAACCTGGACTGAGTTGGAGAGGTCCGGGCAGGGGCTCAGACGCCGGAAAGCAGGTGGTCGGCGTAGGCGGTGGGAGAACTCGAGTGCGAAGTTTGGCCGGGAAGACGCTGGGGATTAAGTGAGAATTTACAGGCGGGAGGCGAGTGTGATCGAGAGAGGAGGAGGGCGGGAGAATGAAGGGTATATATAGTGCGGGCCAGGGGCGAGGAAGACTTGGCGCCCGGGACTCGGAACCCGCGTCCCTCTCCAGCGTAAGGATGTGCTGTAAGGCTGGGGGAGGCGAGGCACGCGCGGGCGTTCGCGCGGAGGTTTTGGGGACAGAGTGGAACGACTTGGCTCGCCAAAGCCACTTCCTGCACTTGGGGAGCCGCGGCCGCCGCCGCCGCTGCTCCTCACTCTTCTCTCCTGCTTGTCCCAGGTCGCGCATCGGATAGCGAGAGGCGCCAACAAAAGAGGCGAGGAGGTGCCACCCCGGGCGGCGGCAGGAAGAGGAGCTGGTGGAGGAGCGCAGTCCAGCGTCCCGATCCGCCGTGCGTACTTTTGGAGGGAAGGGCTGGGAACCGGCCCCGGGAGGGGGGCGCCGGGTGTCGAGGGGTTTAACCAAGTTCCGGCTTTGGTGTCCCTCCCCCGCTTCCACGAGAGGAAAGTTTTCTTCAGACGCTTCCGGCCGGCCCGCGCCCTCCGGGCCCAGCCTCCCGAGCCTTCGGAGCGGGCGCAGTCCCAGCCCAGCTCCGGGGAGACGCGAGCCGCGATGCCTGGGGGTTGCTCCCGAGGTCCCGCCGCCGGGGACGGGCGGCTGCGGCTAGCACGGCTGGCGCTGGTCCTCCTGGGCTGGGTCTCCTCATCCTCTCCCATCTCCTCGGCGTCCTCCTCCACCTCCTCGGCGTCGTTCCTGGCCTCGGCGGTGTCAGCTCAGCCTCCGCTGTCCGGCCAGTGTCCCCCGCCCTGTGAGTGTTCCGAGGCGGCGCGCACCGTCAAGTGCGTGAACCGCAACCTGACCGAGGTGCCCGCGGACCTGCCGCCCTACGTGCGCAATCTCTTCCTCACCGGTAACCAGTTGGCCGTGCTCCCCGCCGGCGCCTTCGCCCGCCGGCCGCCGCTGGCAGAGCTGGCCACGCTCAATCTCAGTGGCAGCCACCTGGAGAAGGTGCGCGCCGGCGCCTTCGAACATCTGCCCAGTCTGCGCCAGCTTGACCTCAGCCACAACCCGCTCGCAAATCTCAGCCGCTTCGCGTTCTCAGGCAGCAACGCCAGTACCTCGGGCCCCAGCCCTCTGCAGGAACTGATGCTGAACCACATCGCGCCCCCTGCGACCCAGCAGCAGAATCGGAGCTTCGAGGGCATGGTAGCCGCGGCCCTGCGCGCAGGCCACGCGCTACGCGGCCTCAGGCGCCTGGAGCTAGCCAGCAATAACTTTTTTTTCTTGCCCTGGGACCTACCTGCGTACATGCCGGACCTCAGGCACCTGGATCTGCGTAACAACTCGCTGGTGAGCCTTACCTACATGTCCTTCAGCAACCTGACACATCTAGAAAACCTCCACCTGGAGGACAATGCCCTGAAGGTTCTTCACAATAGCACCTTAGCCGAGTTGCAAGGCCTGACCCATGTCAGTGTGTTCCTGCACAACAATCCCTGGGTCTGCGACTGTCACATGGCGGATATGGTGGCCTGGCTCAAGGAGACAGAGATAGTGCAGGACAAAGCAACGCTCACCTGTACATTCCCAGAAAAAATGAGAAATCGGGGCCTCTTGGAACTCAACAGCTCTGACCTGGACTGTGAGCCTTTCCTCCCTCCATCCCTGCAGACTTCTTATGTCTTTCTGGGTATTGTTTTAGCCTTGATAGGCGCTATTTTCCTCCTGGTCTTGTATTTGAACCGTAAGGGGATTAAAAAGTGGATGCATAACATCAGAGATGCTTGCAGGGATCACATGGAAGGGTATCACTACAGATATGAAATCAATGCGGACCCCAGATTAACAAATCTCAGTTCCAATTCGGATGTCTGAGAAACAAAGAAGACAGAAAAAGGACAACTGTGCATGAGCTTTTCCCCATTACTAGGTTTGCTCTATGTCATCCCTCCACTGTAGACACCATTGACTTTGACTGAAAGCAGTGAAAGGGATTTGCCTTCTTGTTATGTAAAGTTGCTTGGTGTGCTCTGTTAATGTAAGATGATGAAAACTGCATAAAGTGGTTTAGCCTCTTCATTTTCTTGGAACTCCCCAACTCATGTGGAGGGATTTTTCAAGTTTCAGCATGACCATGGACTCTCTCTCTTAGTACAGTGCAAGGTGTAGCAAGTGTACCTAAACAGATAGCATTCAACAGAAACTCCTCAACTTTTTTGAGAAAAATACTTTATTCATAAATACCAGTTTTATTCTCATGTACCTAAATTATGGAGAAAACAGTTGCATCCCATAACCTGCCTGCAGATCTTAGCAAGCTCTTAAAAATAACTCCATAGGGCACAGAAGCACCCGCGTTTAAGAGCATGTTTAATGGTTTGCTGTTCTGCATATTACAAAAAATAACTTGCAACTTCAGATAAGTTCTCTGACAAGATAAATTACTTTTTGATTGCAGTTTATATGATACTGTCCTGAGGGTTTTTTTTTTTATAAACTGCATAGAGATCCAACAGACTGAATTGTTAAAAAAAAAAAAAAGTCAATAAAGGTTCTTGAAAGAATTATAGTGTGTTCAAGTTTGGTATTTGAAAAAAGGATTAAGGGCAATGATACTGAATGGGGTTGGTTCAGATGATAATGAAGTTAGTAGTTAGCATAGCTGAGGATCAAACTTGAGCAATGTCTTATATAAATAGACTGGAAATAGTTTTGAAATGGTGGATTCTTTCAGAATTTAAATAGAGAGTTCAAATATTTATGTAAATAAACCTCTAATGTTCCCAAAGTTAATGCTATTTGTGAAATGGTTTTGTAGGAGTATTATGAAGTTGGTAGGACACACACACACAGAGGTCACTATGATAAACAGTTGACAGTTTGGGGCCTATTCTAGATTAATGAAGTTAAGAAAGAATGGTATTATTTACTTAACTATAACTCTAAATGAAATTGTCCTATGTGTTCACACTTTTTACAGCAAAGTGTAAAACAAGTATAGTGACAATATATGAAAATGAAGTATCTGAAAGAATATTCTGAAATTAAAGATTTTGAAATACAAATGAGAAGATATTTCTTGAGCTCATAAAGTCAATGGAACTTAGAGTTCTTGAGAATATTGGAAAAGAAAGCATTTAAAATAGAACATACATGGTTGATAGTTTCCCAGAGACCCATGATTGAACTTGAGCTTGAGGAAGTCACCAGAGATAAATGTATCCTTAACTGTCTGAATTAACCATAGGTTCTTATGTTCAGTTCCGTATTTAAGAACTCAAGGACATTGTTTTTTAGTTGAGCTCAATGTAAGTATATATATATATATTTCTTCTTGAGGAATAAATGGTATTTAGGTATTAGGAGAAGCAATTCTTAACCAATTGACATTGATAGCCATGTTCTCTTTTTCTTTTTTTTTTTGAGTTTATCATCAGTCACTTAAACTGAATAGTAAATTTCAGAAATCGGTCCTCAAAACATTATATTATGTGACTTAAAGTTAGCCATCATTCCCTAAGTGAAAGTAGTGGGGAAACTTGCACCAGTAAGTTTTAGGGACTATTTCCCCTTCAAATTATGTTCTACAATGCTTTGCATTGAAATAAATTTATATTTCCATATTTTTATTAATAAATTAGAATTAGATCATTCATTAGGTTCTACAAATCTTTGTTGATTCCTTTTTTTATCAAATTTAGGAGTTTTCAAAATAGAGTTCAAATATGTGAATCTATTCCTTGTCTAGATTATATAGTATAGTCAAAATATGAAGTTTTAATACTTTTAAGTTTCATATGTATTATTTTATGGAATAGTATTCATTATTTATGAGTTATATTCCTGATCCTATAATTAACTGAGAGAAGGCTAAATATGATGCTTAATATTTCATTAATGTTTTAAATCTCCTGGAATTCATAAACTGGCTGGCTGCCATGATTTCCTAAGAACAATGAAGGTCTGAAACGATGAAAATATCCAGTAAATAAGAGCACATTCTTTAGGAATAAGCTGCTGATGGACTTTAGTTGGTAATTCTACTGCTATTGTAGAAAAAACAAATTATAACGTTGATAGAGCCTCTATTCAGAATGATTATTTCTTTATCAACTGACAATTTAACAGAAGTGGAGCTTCATCTAAGATTCAGGAAAGCAAGTGGGTTCCCCGGTCTACTTTTCTCATCAGCTCCATGAAGCAATGATGCATCTGGTCTAGTGAAGCTGAGTTGTCTCCTATTAGGTAGATGACTTTTTTGAAGGTATGATTTCTACTTCCTCATCCCACTGCTTCTTCCTTTGTATGAACTTCCCAATTTGCCACTCCTTGCTGTTCTTCAAAAATGTGGCAAGAGAAAATTCTTAAATTTTAAATCTTGTTTGACAGCTAACTGATAACTTGTGCTGTCATAATACTCTGAGTATTATACCTAAAGCCCGCCAAACATTCTAAATTCCTTGGAAGATAGGTGCTAAATCCAATATGTGTATGAGAATAGAGGAAACATGAAGTAAAAACAGAAATATTGTGACTTTATTTAAAAATAAAATAATTATTCTTGTTTTAAATACTGTTATTTCCCATGATGTATTATTGTTCTAGAACCCTACAAGCAATCCATTTATAAAATTTTATTTTGGTTGATATTTTACTTTATTATGGAGCTTAATTCTTCATGAGAAAGCATCCTTTGTCACAAGTATCATTTGAAGAAAATTGGAAAAATACCTGAAAAAATGTATCCCTTAATTTAAAAAGCTTATTAAAGTGTCCAATAAATTTCCAATAATTTAATGTAGCAAAGTTTCAGTATACTGTAACTATTTGACCGTGAATTGTAACTTCCCCTTCTGTTGTAACTATTCCTTTTGCAGCATTAGTGATTACAATATTAGTTTTGCTGCCAGGGTGTGATTCAGTGGTAAACTATAAAAGTTTATACAGTAGCTGATAGATTTTTGTTACTAAATAAAGACACTTTGAAACACATTTAAGAGATTTTTTTTAAGGAAAAAAACTTACATACTTGCAAGGGTGAAAGGGAAGATTGAGTTGAAATAAATGAGCAAATCACAGTAGTAAATTCTAACATACTGATTGACAGTGTATGTGGATTATGATCATCTAAATATTTAATTAGAAATAATTTATGTCTTCATTTATTGTCTTTTAAAAGTGGCTATAAAAAAGATTCAAATGAACTATGATTGTTTCCTTAGGAATCATTCAACTCTATTCCTTTTGGCCTGATGTTGTAGAACAGGGTTTACCTTATTAAGGACATTAGAGGCTTTGCAACTATTTTGCAGGAGTTCATCTGTCATATCATTTCTGCTTTCCATTTTAATTTTTCCCTAAACAATACACTAAAAGAGACACCATGAAGATTTGCAAGGTTAATAACAATTTAGCACGTTTTCTTCCTGCTCACGTTCATTCAGTCATCCAGCCTTCAGAACACCATAAAGACATTATTAGATAAAATTCAGGCTTCACTTTTACACCTGTACTAGGATTTTTACAAGTAAAGCAAAGAAAGGGAAGGAAAATGTATTTCTAGATAACTTTTGAAAAATAGCTTGATAATGTCTTTTAAAAATCTTCAAGCAATACCACAATACTCCACTAGAAATAAGTAATTTGAGAAAATGCATTCTGCACTATCCTGTGAACCTGTCTCCTTCCAGATGGGAAAATCAGCTCCATGAGGATGTTTTCTACAATTATCCGTTTATTCTAAAGGTACTAAAGAGACTTGATTTAAAAACCCAGACTTTTAAAATTCCTGTTTTATCTTAAGACATTTTAGCAGCTCCATCTTTGCAATAGGTTAAAAACACTAGATTAAAAAAAGTTAAATAAATGATTTATACATTTATAAGAATCTGAAACCCTAGTATTTTGAAATCAGAAGGTCTCTTAAACATGTCAGCCCACTTTCCCATTCTACAAATGAGAAACTGATAACTGTGACTTACTTTGTTACATAAGAACAGGACAAGATTCCAGGGTTCCGGACTACTCTTCTAACGCTCTATTGCAGGTGAGGATATTACCAATTGTCTACCTTTGAAATTCCATGTCTAATTTTTTTTAAAGAGTCCATTGCTTTGGTGAATTTATTCATTTTATTGTTTTGCTTTGATTTCACTTTCAGATTGTTAAAAGTTACTTTGTTTCAGACTCCTGAACATACTTGAATGTTTTTAAATATTTTTTTGCTAACGATTATATTACTATAAAGCCCCTCCAAGTCCAAGTCTATCTACATGATAGATATTTCCCCTTTTTATTAGCATGTATTAATCGTACAATATAATGAGTTTCATTGTGACATTTTCATAGATGCACATTTACCCCATATTTTAGATATTTAATAGTGATAGGTTGCCTGAAAAGGAAAATAAGAACTTTGGAATGCTGTGGTAGCTTGTTTAATCCTATCTTACAGATCAGTTAACTCAGCTAGTGAGAAAATGAAACAAATGAGGCCAAGATCGTGGTTACGAAGTTAGTCACCAGGTGAGACAGTCAGCTTTGCATGCTGTGGTCTGCTCTCCTGGATCACACCCACTCCAGGTGCGTGCTACCATCCTCAAGGGTCTGGAACCAAACAGAGAAGCTAAATAAATGCAAATCCATTACAAATCAGTGGACTGACAGGCCAAACCCTGCCAGCCCTGCTGCCAATGTGCCAGCTCACTGTCTACCCTGCAGGGCTTTGTCACTTACATGACTTTTGAGAAGATTCTTTTACAAGTACCTTTTAGTGTATCCCATAGGAAATTAGGTTTGCTTTATTATTTAAAATGAAAATGTGGTTTCTGATTAAGTATTACTACTATATCACTAACTTATCTGAACATGTTTAT